CATTTTCTTAAAGAAAAAAGATGTGCAGGAAGACAAATATAGATGCTTTTCATTTAACAAAGGATGCTTTTGCAGATCAATCAACATTTTTGATTTTTAAGAATATTCTTAACAGTTTCACTTTTTCCTTGGCTTAAAATGGCATACAGCTGACCATGCTGGAACACCAATGTGTCAGCACATTCTCCATGGTTTGCCCTTGTGTTTTCTGTATATTGGCAGCGAAGCATGACTGTAATGGGAACTGTGCCCACCGATGAAGGATGTCTTTGCTTTCTGATAAATAGAGCATAATTCTTGGAATCATGAGAATGTCATTTTTGAACATATCAATGATTATCTTTGCTACAAAGGCTTTGGGTGTCCCTTTTATTACATGTGCCATTTTCTCAACATGCTGAGATTTTGCTGCAATACAGACCATGGATCATGTGCTTCAATACCAAATTATGCATCTCTGACTCTTCATTTCGGTCTCATATTTTGGCTTACACAAATGTATCATAATCCTGTGATCTTGACTTGGATGCTTCAAGCCACAGCAGACAGTGCATATGAGACAGACCCCACTTTTGGTATGTAGCACTTTGCATATAAGCAATACGCTTATGACAAAGACCATGTGTTACAGTGAGGTACTTCATGCATAACTTTGTCTTCAAGTTGAATACTGTTGTAATTAAATCTGGACAATCATTTGGCTGCTGATTCCAAAAAAAGATGCTGTCACACTGAGCTTAATTCTTGGAATCTGTATATACCTCATGGTGTGGTTCCATCATATATCTTGGTCCACCAACAAATGTTCCAAGTGAGATCTGCACTCACCCTTTTGGCCTTCCAAAAGATCTTGAAGACAGGGTTCTGCCAATTGATCTGGGGCCCTAAATGGAGGTGTCCAGTGGATTAGGTTATACTCCACGTCCTCCCCATGCTATGTATTTTTGAGTTGATCTTCTCTCTTTCCCTCCATCTTTTCTTATCTTCTTATTCTGTAACTTCCCTTGTGATTCTGGAGACCCTTTCATCCTCCATTTCTTCATCTCCTCCTCCTCACCACATCCCAACATTTGGTGTTGTCTCATGACCATAATAGACCTCCCCCCTCTCCCTCTTTCAACATGGCATAATTATGCTGACAATATTTTATTTTATCATAATGTTGCTGTTCTCACCTCAGAACCTGTTGGCTTTTCCACTGTGTTGCAGAAAACTTTCAGAGACAGTTTAAAAAGAGGATCACGTGATCTCCAGGGAGTTAGGCCAAGACTGGTCTACAATCAGTTTCAGAACAGGAAGCAGTTGAAAAATGAAGCAGGATGGGCAAGGATTAAAATATAGGGACTAACGTGTTTGATTCATACCAGAGATCTACTCCATCTAGAGCCACAGCAGCTCATTTGATGACTTTCTGTCCAATCTACCTTTGTGAAGGAACATGCCAGATTAAACTCAACATCAGTTTAAAAAAATAAAAGGGCTTTGTGAGATCTCAAGAAGAATGTTGCAGAGTATTGTTTATATTCTGCTAAAACTAAATAGTGTATTGTTTACAAACTACTTATAAGAGAATGGACCATTATGTATGTACCTTGATGTTGAGTTCCTGGACAAAGATGGGATTCAGTGACATGTGAATATTTGTGTGCCAGAGAAGGGGCACATAAAACAATAAAAATATTATGCACTGTAATGTCACTGCTTTAAAGGATATATGATAACTCAGTTTCTTGCTGCTGGGTAGGGGAGTGAAAGATTGTGAGACTGGCTGGGAAACAGTCATGGAACATTGAAAACGAAAATTACATGGCCTCAGCAGCAGCCCAGCAATAGCAAATAGCCATGAAGCAGCTACAACTTCCCTAAATTTCATTCCCTCAGTCATGAATCCCAGATTTTGGATGGATTCTCTAAGCCAGAGTCCCCAACCTTTTGGGCACCAGGGACCGGTTATATGGAGAGAGGTTTTTCCGTGGACTGGAGGGGGCGTGGTTTTGTGTGCTGCCTCCATCCCAAGGATGGGGCTTTGCTTGTTTGTGCGGCCTGGTTGCTGGCATTCTGCGGACTGGTACCGGTCCATGGACCGGGGGTTGGGGACCCCTGTTTTAAGCCCATTTGAAGTCCCTTGGTTCAAAAACTTTGCCCTATGATGCACCATTTTACCCAGATAAATGTTGTGACAAAGAGAATTTTAGTAGTATATAAGTAATACTCCACAACACTCTTCTTGCGATCTTATGAAGTCCTTTTATTCTTTCAAATTGATGCACTGTTTAATGTCATATTCCTATTTGCATAGTGTTGGTGCATATTTGCTGCACGGGTACTTGGAAACCAGTTTTGCAGATCATGGATTATACAATGTTTTCCCTACTGAACTTTAGACATGAACAGTAAAAGAATATGTGTTGCTGACAAAGATTGATAGAAAGTTAAATCTGTAATTTCCCAATAACATATTCAATGAGAGGAAACTTACTGGGTTACCAGATATAAACTGCAAAAAACCAGGACAACCACTAGGAGGGCTCTCTCCCCCCTCTCTCTTGCTAGCTTTCTGCCATCTAATGAATACAGTATTCATATTTTTGGAACCCAACAATTTTGTTCATCATTTACCTCTGTGTTCAGGCAGCTTGAATAGGAAATAGAAACACAAAGATCAGGGGAGGGACTAGCAACCAGTTATGTTTCCAATCCCCTGGAATTGGGATTTCAAAGATTAAACTGAAAAAAAAATTGTGAAGATATGGTATGTAAGTCATGAGCACAGTATAATAAAAATTAGGCCAATTTACTTAATAGGGAACTTCTGGCCAAGAAATTTAAATGCAGCCTTTTTGATAAAATTGCAGTACAGGAATCAGACTAAAATATCAATTATTTCCATTTCATGCTCTCATTTTCTTCAGGTCATTTAATCTTTACTGGGCAAATTTACTAGGAACGTGTTCATTTGCATTGGTCCTACTCCAGATGGTAGAGGACAGGAAGGCCTGGAGGAACGTGGTCCATGGTATCATGATGGGTCGGACACGACTTTGCAACTAATAACAATACTCCAAGATGTCCCACAAAACCTAAGCAATAGAAAAGGGGGGAGAAAACATGCCTGCAGCCATTGGGAAAGGGGGGAATTGGAGCATATGACATCATGCAAATGCCATGGCTCACATGCTCAAGCCAGTCATTGGTATATAAATACTTAATGGTAATATTTTGAATAAGGAAGTCCTTCCAGATATAACTTGGTATAAGGGCATTTCTTTTTTGTGTGGGCATCGCTATCTGTGATCCTGCAGGAGGCCTCTCCTCTGGGAGGGATTTGGCTAGAACTTACTTGTTAGGAGAATTCCTGATCAGGAATGTTGTAGATTTTGGAAATGCAGGGAATCCTTGACTTACCGTTCCTTTATAGCAGTGCTCCTCAACGTTTGTGTGACGGCGACTCCCGTCACACAAATGTCCTGCGCATGCGCGGTGCCGCGTGCATGGGGGGGCCAATGTGCGGCACGCATGCGCGAGCCCATGCGCGGCGCGCGTGCGCGGCGGCCCCCATGCACGACACGTGTGCACGGTGCCGCCCCCATGTGCGACACGCGTGCGCGGCGCCCCCCATGCGCAGCATGCACACACGGCGGCACCCCCGTGCGTGGCGCACGTGCACGGCGCCGGGAAAAATGGTGGATCGCCACCTTTGGCGACCCCCGAAAAATGGTCGATCGACCCCAAATGGGGTCGCGACCCATAGGTTGAGAACCACTGCTTTATAGCCACCATTTGAAGTTACAATGGCACTGAAACAAGTGACTTAGAAACAGCCCTTGCACACACCACCACTACAGCATCCCCATGGTCACATGATCAAAATTCGGACATTTGGCAACTGGCATGTATTTAGGATGGTTGCAGTGTTCCAGGATCATGTGACTGCCATTTGTGACCTTCCCTATTGGCTTCCAATAAGCAAATTCAACGGGGGGGAAAGGCCAGCTCCAGTGATTTCCTTAACAACCATGGTAAAAAGGAAGATCAGGCATGGCTTAATCACCTTACTTAGCAACAGAACTTCTAGTCCTCAAGATAGTCAAGGACTATTTATACTGAGAATCTGGCCTGGGGGGGGGGGAAGCTTTCTTTTCTGTATTGCTCTGTTTTCTTCTCTTGCCAGGAAGGGATTTAAATCTGCAAGTCTCAGAATGCCTGACAAGGAAAAGGCAAGATGGTTGCTGCTAATGCTAGAGACCTCCTCAGTATCGTTGGCTGTAGCCCACTTCCAGGGAAGACAAACAGACTAAGGGGATGTGATGTGTCTGAGAAACTACCCCAAACAAGAGTTGTGATGTTGTGACCTAACTCTTCACTTCATTTTCTTTCAAAAGCGGAAAGATGTACATATGAATTTTCTTAGCAACACAAGTAAAATCTGGCTTCTGAATTATTATCAGTGTGTAGTCCATGGTAACTCCCAAAAAAAGATGATTCAAATGTTTAATTTCTGTGGTTATTCTTGCCCCAAATGAATAGTAAAACAAAAGAAAAATGAATTGGGTGTTGTGTCTAGTGGGACTTTTGAGAACAAATTACAATAATAGTGAAAAGTGATTTGACTGGTCCCTGTATTTATGATCTTCACAGCATCCCCATGTTGATATGATCAAAATTAGGGTGTTTTGACAGTCGGTTGCAGCATCCTGGGATCATGAGATTGCCATTTGTGACCTTCTCAGGGGTGTTTATGACGACAAAAGAGTACGTGTATATGATTAAAAATAGTCTCCTCTGATTCTCCATAAAAGGAAAAAGCCAGGATGCTTCTCACTTAAAAGTGCTTTATCCATCAGGCCATGTATTTTACTTTTCAAGAAGCCATTTAACTCCCTTATCTATACAGCAAGCAGTTTTATTACACATCCCAAATAGGTCTTCCAAGGATATGCTGCCATTTCATAACATGCTGCCTTTCCAAATTTTAAAAAAGAATAAACTTATGCTCATAGTTCATAAATATATAAACATTTTTATTTGGCTTTTGCAGATTGGAAGAATGAATACATAATTTATGCCCTATATTTGATAATTTTATTACAATATGTAGCATTTTTATCAGCTCTGGAAATTGCATCATTAGCTGTTACTTGAGTTTACTCAGTCATAAGGATGTAACTAGTGGAACATATATGTCCAATATCAATACTTGTAGAAAAAGAGAAAAAAGATACGTTAAAAGAGAAACCTATCAATTTCTCTTATCATGTATTAGCTGGACAGCTTCAATTTGTATCTACAAATCCTTTTGCCACAGACTTTGTTCCTTACTCTCTCCTGTAAAATGTAAATCCTTTCTCCTCCCCATCTACAAACAAAAGTAAACAGGAAAAATGAACTTAATTTGCCATTAACTCCCACAAGCTACTTTCATATCATTTTTTTTCTTCCTTGCTTACATGATGCTTATTCCTTCTTTTTTCAATTATTAAGAAACTTAAACTGACGATCCAAAATGGACTTGTACTCTCTTTTACAATTTCCTGCAATAAAGTAGGAAATACAAGCTTCCATAAAAGTTTCTGGATTTTTAAAAGGTGGATTTTATTAAGCACAAAACATTTTTTAATACATTATCCATACAAATTGGGAAAAATCCAACTATAATGAATTTCAAGAATTGGATGGCACGTATCGGCACAATAAAAAGGACCATTTAAAAAAAATACAAATCAAAATTATAGGTCACCGCTGTCTATACAACAGATAGTTTACCTACAGCCTAAAATACTACATCATCTGGAGAATAAACAGAATTATTTTTTGTGGAACTTGCACTTATTAGCACCATTTTAAAACTTGCATCAGTTGCTTAGAGAAAGAAGCACCTGATAGGTTGGGATAAAGCTTCAAAGCAAGTATTCAGTGCATTGTCATCTGTTCCTTTTAATTATATTTGAAGTCTGTGGGTTCATAGCATGTTAAATTATGGCTTCGTAGAAATACATGGTTATGGTGTAGATTAAGATTTGCTTCAAGAAGGATGAAGAGGTTTTTATGTTTAATAATAGCTGTGAAATGCATTTTCATGTATTATGGTAGGCATAGAATGCAGATGTCATGCAGAATTACCAATAGACATCTTATGGATTGGCAGGGAAAGGCTATTAGGTCTCTGTGGTACAGGCGTCTGGTTGTGTCAGTTGTTGTTTTCTCAGACAAACCAACTTTATCTTCTCTCTGATGTGTTCAGCTGAAGAAGCCATGTCACTTGGGCTCCCAAAGAACTGCTCAGTGCTAAAAAAAAAACAAAACAAAACAAAAAAAAACAAGCAAAACCCCCCCAAGCCCTTACATGTAAGAAAGTAATACGAGTTTTTGCTATGTTCACAGATTTATTTGGTCACTTTGCAGCTTTCAGGATAATATATATTATTATAATATCCTATCACAGAAACTGTTGGATCTACCAGAAATAACTTTCCAGTAGCTTCAGGATAATATAAAATAATAGAATACTTGAAATTTCAGAACAGCTTCCCAACCTTAGGAATATTTATGTGTGAAGTCATTTGATACCAGACTTCACAACTGTATTAAAACATACCAACGGTTTCTTTTTACATTTGTTGTCATTCAAACCAATTCTTTGAAGCTATCTTATTAGCGTTTACTTTCATTTCAAATAATCAAGAGGTATCTATCTCTTTATTGAATTCCAATGTAAGGATGAACTTATCTTGCTTGTTTTGATGACGTAAAATATAAATAATACATAGTAACACTATTAAATTTTAATAAAATGTTAAATTGTATTTCTTGGTTTTAATATTTTCCAGCACCTCAGTATTTGACATCTGATTTATAAAAGTGCAATCCTAAACCAAAAATTAACTTAGCAGTTAAGATTAGGCAAAGTTTAGGCAGCCTTTTTCCATCCATGGAAAGTCAAGAGCTATTCTGAAGCATCTATTAAGGCAGGAAGCTTTTGTCAAAATAATGAAAGCAGCATCACTCTCATTACACATGCACGCAATTTCACAAGGCATATAGAAAGGAGAGGGAGCATTTGCACTGGGATGGCATACAATGCCTTTCGTCCATTTGCCTTCCCATTTACTCTCCTTACTCAGATGCCTCTGGAGTTCCTGAATATGGAACACCACAGATCTTCTAAAGGACTTCATCCATTCCTTCACCACCCATCCCTATCCCCACTCCCAATCGTCTGTTCTGGCCAGTGCAAACCAATGTGGAACTGGACCTGCTGCTCCATTCTGGCTCACTTCTAATTTGGTCTGTTCTGTTGTCATATCTGCTTTTTAAAAATTATTGCTACACATAATGAAATATTTTGCACTGCATAGTGAGCAATGTAATGCCTACTACGTACCCATCAGGATAAACCACTGGAACTGTTAATCTATCCAGAAGGGATTTTCCAACAGTTTCAATCTCATCAAATTGTTCCGGATCATATATAGATTCAGACTCATCTGGGCATTCTTGCAAAACCTGTAATAAAATAACATTTTAAAAAATGGACGCGGTCAAACTGTAAGTTGCAATAAAAAGAAATCACACCATGAATTTTAACGTTCTGTGTAAACATGATAAAACTTTATTAAATAGAAATGAACACATAAAATGCACACTTTAAAATGTTATATCAAAGATACTGAAATCCAACTGCACAAACTCACTTTTTCTGCATTTGAATGGAAAGCAGCAGCCATCTCTAGCCTTGTTACTCTTTCTTCTGAAGTGATTGTGAATTGTTTCCATACACGGTTCAGCTTTGGAAGTGTTTCTCCTGACGATCTAGAAGTGCATCTCAGAGACTGACACAAAACCACAGTAGCCTGTAGTAACTGTCGCCCATAATCATAGGTACTCTAAAAAAGAAAAAGAAAAATAGACATTAAGGTGGGCATTTACAGTGTTGGCGCAACAGATTTACAGATTTAGGCACAACACAGTAACACATGAATCGTTAAGACACTATAGCTTTTCTTGGGCCTATTAAAAACAAGTTTGACTTTCCATGCTCTTTTCATTTGCAGGAACATCCAAACAGGGAAGAAGGATACAGCAAAGAAAGGAAACTAGATTTTCTTGGCTAGACTGCTTTCAGTTAGAGACTACAAGTGTACAGAGTCACATCTTACTTTATATGGCAGTTATGGAAATTCTAGAAGGATCTGGCCTGTTATTGAATCATCCTCTACTCATCCGCCACCCCATCTTCATTTCACCTGAACATCAAGCCTCATTACCACAGCATTAACATTTCTTTTTTCTTCTGCCTAATAATCCATGCCAAATGATCTATTATTCTATACCAAAAATGTTGAATCCTTGCTATCTAGTTAGAGAAATGACTTGAAAAATAAAACTGTGGCCCCAAGTACAATGTGGATCCATTCCATATTCATGGAAGAAAAATGAACTCAAGCATTTCATAATAGTCGAAAAGCATTTTGACATGTATAAATTAATAAATGGTTGGTAGATTAATGACATCCCACCTCCCTCTCCCCCTGCTTATCCTACTCCCTTCCCTCCACATTTTTTAGTTAGGGTTGAGAATAGTATTTTTATAGTATTTTATTCATATTATATATAGGTTTTGTATAGTTTTATGCTTTTTAACATTGTAAGCAAACCAGAGTTACCCTGTGGTAGGCTGGGGGGAGCAATACATTTAATAAATAATAAAATAAATAATAAATTAACTTTAAATAAGATTGCAGATGGCCAATAATCTTACCAAATCTAACCATGATTGACAGCAATAACTTTAATTAGTATACTGCTCAGCAAATAACCAAAATGACCATTTTAAATACAGATAGCAAACCTTAATAGCAAACTAATTTGCTACAAAATAAATGCAAACATACCTGAGCTACATCAACAAATTTCCTATGTTTTTCCAACAAAATTTTGGTTTCTTGGGCATCATCTCCCAAACGGGTATGAGTCTTCAGCAGCGCATCTAATAATTCATTTAACCATTCTATTGCCTACAGAAGTGAGCAGAGTGAGATTGTGAAGTAAGAGAGGAGACATAGAATAAATTTGTCAAATCTGCATAAAGAAACGCAGCTACCCTGACTCTAAACTACCCAGTGCTTTATCAATTCCCAAAGTTTACTTAATTTGTCTGGCAGCTTTGTTTTAGGCCACAGCTGTCACCATCAGTCTCACCTGAGCAGCATCCTCTTCACACTTAAATAACTGAACCATCTGAAGCATCTTTAATCGTCTCACATCTACCATGTCCTCACATCTGTGAAAGGCAGAACATAAAACTGCATCACAAAGGTCGCTCTGCTTATAAAAAAATTATACATGAGCAATTCTTACTTTTAAATGTAGCAATGAAATTTGGGGAAATGTCTAAAATGCTGTGATAAGGAATAACACACACTTTAAGAATACCCCAAATCTGATAAATTAATCCTTAAATACCAATATTGATAAGCCCTTTGGAAAGTTCAGCTACCGTATACAACTTTGAAGCTGCTTATGATATAGCCATGGAAATTCTATTTTATACTGCTTTATTGAACAGCATTATGACTCACGGCCATACAATGCTAAGTTATTGCTACAGTTACATACAGTGCTAAATTATGCCTTAACATCGTATGAACAAGCTTGGGGGTCCATACTCTCCTTCCTCAGAAAATAGCAGTGGGACTGGAAGATTTTGTTCTCAACCAGATTTTCTCAAAACTAAGTTAGTTCAAAAAAAGACAGGATCAGAACATAACAGCAGTTTAAACAATAAACTAAGTTCAGATGTTAATAAACTATTCCAGCAAGATAAATTAGAGTAGTAATAAGGAAAAGGTAGAACTGTGCATATCCTCTGAAAGAGGTAGTCTATGCAAATGCACAGCAAGCACTTCCCTCTGAATAATGAAAGCAGCCATTCATAGCATGGCTGCTTAACTAGCTGCTCATGGCCAACTGCATATGTGCTCATGCACAGCTGCTTCAACTTTATTCCCAGGACTGCAGGTGCAGCAATGCAAATGCATGCAGGCAGTCAGGATTAGGTTATGAAAGATAAGGCTATTTTCAATGGGCTCCTGTAAATTGCAAAGAATCTCTTTAGAAGAATTCCCACAGCCAGAGACAGAAGCCACTCTACATAAGCCTATATATCTACGTGATACTAACTATGTCCTTCAAACTAGTTGATGCTACATAGTTCACTATCCTATAGTTATATATAGGATAGATGCTAATGGATGAAGGACTGTGATGACGATAATGATCAGCACATATCAATCCGCTATGGGATGAAGGTTTCTTCTTTGGAGATTATAAATGTTTAATACTTATGCTGTTTTAGGATAAGTTAGTAGGTGTTTTTGACTTCTCAGTATAGGGCTGAGAGAGAATAATAATAATAATAATAGTAAAGTTGGAAGGGACCTTGGAGGTCATCTAGTCCAACCCCCTGCTCGGGCAGGAAACCCTACACCATTTCGGACAAATGGCTGTCCAGTCTCTTCTTAAAAACTTCCAGTGTTGGAGCATTTACTGCTTCTGGAGGCAAGCTGTTCCACTGATTAATTGTTCTCACTGTCAGGAAGTTTCTCCTTAGTTCTAGGTGCTTCTCTCCTTGATTAGTTTCCACCCGTTGCTTCTTGTCCTGCCTTCAGGTGCTTTGGAAAATAGCTTAATTCCCTCTTCTTTATGGCAGCCCCTGAGATATTGGAATACTGCTATCATGTCCCCCCTTGTCCTTCTCTTCGTTAAACTAGACATACCCAATTCTAGCAACCGTTCCTTATATGTTTTAGCCTCCAGTCCCCTAATCATCTTTGTTGCTCTTCTCTGTACTCTTTCTAGAGTCTCAACATCTTTTTTACATTGTGGTGACCAAAACTGGATGCAGTATTCCAAGTGTGGCCTTACCAAGGCATTGTAAAGTGGTATTAATACTTCACATGATCTTGATTCTATCCCTCTGTTAATGCAGCCTAGCACTGTGTTGGCCTTTTTGGCAGCTGCAGCACACTGCTGGCTCATATTTAGGTGATTGTCTACTAGGCCTCCGAGGTCCCTCTCACAGTTACTACTATTGAGCATGGTGCCACCTATGCTGTACTTGTGCATTTGGTTTTTCTTGCCTAAATGTAAAACCTTGCTTTTTTCACCATTTAATTTCATTTTGTTAGTTACTGCCCAGTGTTCAAGTCTGTCCAGATCCTTCTGTATCTTAAGCCTGTCTTCTGGAGTGTTGGCTATTCCTGCCAGCTTGGTGTCGTCTGCAAATTTGATGAGTGACCCAAAGTCACCCAGGCAGGTTCTGTTGCTAAGTGAGGATTATAATTTCAATATCTTTACCCCCAGTCCAGCACTATACCCACTATACCACTCTGGCTCTCATATTTATCTGTCTGTCTCTCATTGTCTTGTGTTACGTAACGGTTGCTCATGACCTCTTCTGATTATTTTACCTACAGGCACAGTCTTCCTCAAACTTGGTGCCTCATGTCACATCCAAGCATAGGCTAGGGCAGTTAAGAACTGGGATGAAAATCTTTGGGGAGTGTAGCTTATTGGAAGATGAGCCCAGTGCATTAGGAAAAGGAGCGTCCTGTGAAGTGGTAACATTCCTCCAAAGTATATTCCAAACCTCAGGCAGAAAAGAGGTCATATACAAGCCACCTGTACTAGCCTTTTACAAAGAGCAGCTAAAGCAGCTGACTCCCAAAGGATAGTAGCAGATTATGTCTTTGTTGCCAAGAAAGTAGCAACCCATACAATGGGAATTTTTAAAGAAATCCTACAAAAATGATAACTAACATCAAATCCAACTTAGGAGAAATTTCCTAACTGTGAGAGCAATCAACCAATAGAATAGCTTGCCTTCAAAAGTTGTGGGTGCTTCATCAATAGAGGCTTTCAAAAAGAGCCTGGAAAACCATCTGTCTGAAATGGTATAGAGTCCCCTGCTCTAATAGTTTGTTGGACTAGAAAACCTCTTGAGGTCACGTCCAACTCTATTATTCTATGTTCTTTTTTGTTTATAGTTTTCAAAGTTGTATCTGAGCTCAAAACTGTGTTTTTATTTTTAAGTGTAATGCCTTATTCAATAAATGTTGTAATATTCCTTAAAAATGTGGTATATCAGGAGGATTTAGTATTTTATTTAAATAAATATTGCAGTAGCTGCTAAATTATCAGGAAAATTAAAGGAGTTTCTGTAGCAAATGTAAACTCGTACATAATTCCTCATCGAAATTTAGAAAATGGAACAATATGTAATGGAACATTAAACATTTCCAAATGATATCAAGGCCATTAATTACCAATTAATCTTAAAAGCAGTTTTTCTGCAATATTTAAAGAAACTACAGAACCTATAAATTGTAATTTGCATTAATACTTTAGGTTCTCTTAATAATAAGTATTGCACAATACTGAAAGTAACAAAAATATCTAAATGTATGAAACTATATACAAAAACGCTGTTTTTATAATTAACTGATTTTGTTTAGTGTCAAGTTTAAACAAAAAACTTACTTATAAGTTTTGGGAATCATATATTTCAGAACAAAAAAAATACACAGGATACACCCTATGTACACTTAGGTTTGTATTTTGATTATTTTTCATATTTTCATTTGTTTGAAAAATATGGTGGCATTTAAAAAGAAGCTAACAGTCATTAGGAAAGAGAAATTCTTCGGAGTCCAACATCATCCTGAATACCTTTGCTTCCTGAGCTGCATGTCTTCCATTACTCCCTGGATGTGATCAACATTCTCTTTGTTTTCATTTGTTACATCTTTTCCATAAGCCCAGGTAGCTTGGTTAGAAATCTGATCAAGAAGACCCTGACCTTTTTCACGCAAACCTTGGAGGCCCAAGTCTACAGGGATAATGAACAAAATTTTATTTTGTACACAATGTAAGATGAACTATCCTCTTAAATCATGAGTACCCAATTCTGTTTTTCCCCTTGTGCAAGTTAGATGCTATCTAATTGTCACATGTTCCCACTTAACCTACTAAACTCTAAAATGATATATTCTGTAAGCACATCCTTCAAGTGTTGACAGTTAACTATATCAACTGGTAAGAAGGATGGTTAATACTTCAGCAGTACAGACACATACACAAATTGATTTATGTCAGGCTTGATAGTGTTTACTATAAGTGAGGACTGTAGCTCTGTGGTACTACTCACACTGAAAATCCAGGTTCAATTTTTGGTACAATCATATAAAAAGAAACAGATTAGTTGAGATTGTTTCCCAAGACCTAAATTGCTGCCCAAGATCTAGAAGACATACTACTAGCCAATGAAAGAAGCAGTGGGCACAAGTGGGCACAAATGACCAACGTCCTGATTTACCCTAATGCAGTTTTGTCTTTATTATGCTCTCTCCCCACATATTTATGAGCTATTAAATCAGACATTGTCTTCACACGTATTCTGTTTGCCCTTAATTGGTTTGTTTATTCTGCCCAATACCCTTTCAGTAATAATTATTAGAACAACAGATGTTGCTTAAAATGAAATTCTTTTAAATATAAATGTAGAGGCTCATTTGAAGACCACTGCTGTTGGAAATCAGTAGCTCAAATCCATTTCATATGAGTCTATGAGTTATATGCCATCTTGATCTGTTAGTTATGTAACATCCGGCAATTTAAACTGGGTTTGGTTAAGCTAATGAAGTGGCCGTGCCCTTGTCAGCCATGCACAGATTTTGGAAGCCTACATGTTTAGATTTCCATAGGAGCTGGAACCTCAAAAACACAGATTCCTAGTTTCTATTGAATATTCACAAAACATGAATATGGTGGTCAATGCGTATTACTGAATATCATTCTACAATGAGGTATTTTTAAAGCTCCCTTTGTGAGCCAGTCAAGTGAAGAGAATCAGTGACCGCAGTTTTCCATTCAATGTGCTTGTTAGGCTTATATGAAAAAGTATGCAATTTAATCCAATCCTTATTCTGCAATTCAGAGGACATTCACTATAGCGTATTTGGCAATTTAATCTTGTTTTTCCTTACCAACACTTTTTAATTTCTCTTCAAGTAGTTTTAAAGTTTGCTGAATTGACGCTCCATCAGCTGGGGCTACATCAACACACAGCATCCCGAGTAATCCATCTAGTTGCTGAGACAACTGAAAAGAGCCAACCCCAAAGTCAGCAAGTTATTTTTATGATTTTAAGTCTTTCTCCTTAGTTAAAGAGATGTGTTGTATGAATGGCAGGCAGAACTATGACTTCTTCAATTATAAAAGAGACAGAGCTAGGACATAGGGCTAGCAACAGTGTCTGTGCAAACAGCTGCAAAGGAAAGCTCTAGTTTCCAGCCATTTCAGCTGCTGCCACTTCATCCAATCCAAACTGCCCAGGAAGAATCTAAATAATATTCAGTAAAGTAAAATATTTCATTCAGGTTTAAACAGCAAAGTCTACACTGATGGCATTTCAGTGCCCCTTATGATTTTTTTCCTCAATGATTTCATTTGCATACAGAGTAGGATTGTGAGTCACCATACACCAGTGACTAAATTGTCAAAATTCATCCCCCAGAATGGCCTCTTAAATACTGCCTGCCAAGAAGGATCAGAACCTCTCCAAATCAATTTTCTAAAAACAGGTGGTAACTCTTAATTTCTTCACATACTCTGCAATTTTCTCAAGAACCATGTGTTGAAAAGAATCCAGACAAAAGGACAAATAGTTACTGAATTTATGTCATTGGCTTGCCTCAGAGTTCATGTCTAGATAAATCCAACTGACATTATTAGCAGAGATTTATGTAATTTGTTCATCTGCTCCAGCTTTGCTTGTCTATAAGAAATATGGAAAAGGAACACTCATCTCGTCAATGTGTATATAGAGAAATGGACACTTTTTTAAAAACTGCCTCCATTAATTAACAGCAAACTTCCAAGTGAGCCCTAATACTTCCTTGTTCTCATTTATTTGAAGACTTTTTCCATGTGCATTGCAACTATTTGGGCAAAATTATTCCTAAATATAACCGGCTTATTTATTGATCTGCAATGGCATCATGAAGCCATGATGTACAATAAGAAAGTGCATATTTTACTTACATCTTGAGCAACACCATGAAATTCAAGGGCTGCTTGTAGCAGATTCTGCCTAAACTCCAACTGGCTGGCCTGCCGATAACAAACATCACTCAACTGCTGTTGCAACGCTTTTAATTCTACAAGATCTTCTTCATCCCCAGCATTCAGTAAAGCTGCAATCTGTTGATTCAGTTCCACGTACACTGCAAACCATTCCTGCAAAATCAGCCCATCAAAGTATATCATCATTATTGTTAATTTTGCCATGTTTTTAAAAGCACAAGTACAACAGCTATGCAGCAAACCTCAGCTTACTGAAATATTGAGCAAGATTATGCACATCTCTGTTTAACAATGTTATGTTAAAAGCCAATGGTATGCAAATCTGCTGAAACTCAAAATTAAGTCCACCTTTCATTTTGTTTTCAACATAATAAAATGATTCTATTATTTTGTCAATTTCAGAAGCTGGAAGCAATTTTCAAGAACACTTTTTTCTTGAGGTGTTTTTTCAAATTGTTCTTTATCTTATTCATATAAGGAATTCTTTCATTTTCCCTAACTGTAATATCCTGTTCTTTTATTTGCCCAAATCTGTTTTTTCAAAAACAACAATATTGATTTGCATTTATTTAACACTCAGCAAAATGTATTTGTCTGCTCATCTATTTGTTCCCTTGATCATACAATTCTTCCCTCTCCTTTTCCTTACTCTAGATTTATTAAACAATTTCCTAGGCTTTCTTTATTGCTTCCCCCACCACCACCCATCCTCTAATTCAGACATGTCAAACTCACAATGTCACATGACATCGCGCAATGTATCGGAGCTTTTCCCCCATTGCTGGCAATCGGGTGGGTGTGGTTTCATTGTGACACGTCTGACCCGGGGGCCGGCAGTTTGACACCCCTGCTCTAGTTGATACATTGGAAGTGTCTTCCCGTTCTTAAAAGCACAGGAGACAGAACTGAAGTAATGCCAAGCACCTGCAACATTTGGCAGAAACTTACATGCTAGCAAAAATGCAAATGTGGGGCAAGGGAAGACAGGTGGCTAAACAAAAACACTGGGACATGTAACAAAGAGTGGGACAAAAGCACTGAGAAGTAGGGACAGAGGAAGAGTGGACTGAAGAAGGTGGCAGGCAGAAGGAACAGATGCTGTAGAGAAATGGACAGAGAGAACCATTTCCTCACTACTGGCTTATAATTTCACCCAGAAAATTGTTGAAGCTATACAAAGCCTATCCTTATTCCTGTTATTTTAGCATAATGATCACTGGTTGACTATAGAATACTCTTATCTATCAGTTGCTGTTGGGCAAAGGGCAAAGGGCAAATAGGCGAACAGAATTTGGCGTGACATCCTTATTCAAATAGTTGAAGCAAGAAGCTCAATTGAACTGAATGGAAGGAATCTTCCTGTTCCCAAGTCAGCTGGAAAGAATGGGAAACCAGTGCAAATAATTCATTGGGGAAATAACTATTCTTTGCCCCAAACTGGCAGGAATAAATGAAATCTCCACCACCCCTAGAGTCCAAAAGATTAGACGGTCCTTGGTAGGCAATGATTTATTTTGTCTTTTTCAGTCTCAGAGGCGGTCATTCCTTTTTCAACTATAGCATACTATTTATGCCACTAGAACTGATCATTTATATGATCAGTAGCTTGTTTTAGAAGAAAAGGTGCCCTATTTACCAATACATAAATCAGTGTCTAAAATTCACTAGAAAAGAAGGCCACTAGAAATATTGCACACAATAAATGACATATAAAAATCATTACACAGTAACTTGCTTGGGAAAATGAAAACTCACGCTGTGTTGACTTTCAATCTCTTCATGTTTCTGTTGCAAAGCTTGTGAAGCCCTAATTGAATCACCAATTCCCCACTGGGTTCTAAGCTGTTCCGAACCTGGCCCTTCCAGCCAGTTCACTACCTATTTAAATAAAAAAAAACATGATCATCATCACATATAATTTAAAACCAATACAGGGCAGGTAGATTTTAAAGGCTTTCTATTATTTAAGGCAACCTTTCCTAATACAGTTCATAGTATATACATTAATAGCAAACCTTATTTCCAAAAAAGAAAACAAGGACTGGAGAAGTCAGGGCTGGTAAACCTCTTTGGTACAAAATCAAGGGACTAGACAACCTGATCCCATTTTTTTAAATGCATGTTTTCTTTGTGAATCTTAATAATATTGCAGTCTCATATCAGAAGCAGCATAAGCACACTTCTCATTTTCAACTTATACTTATATTGGCAGATAAAATGCAACAACTTTTTGTTTCTAGTGAAAGGTAATTTTTTTCTAATTTGTAGAATTATATTATCTCGATAAATTTCCTAACAAACCTTAGCATGTATTATTTCATATACTATAACGAAATGGCATTAGAACAGTATTTGTCAAAAAATGTATAAAAATCTAGGAGCATATCTTACATTGCAGTGGTGCTTAAATGTTTTTGACTCCCTGATTTAACTAGGTTCTCTTTATCTAATTTTAGGATTTGTTTGGAGAACAGATCAGATTTCATTGAAAATTCAGAAGGGTTCACAAAGTGAACTGTACATGGATAGTAAAGATCCTTCCAGCCCAACTTATCTGTGGTAAGCCAGTAATCAAAGGTCATGACTATTTAAGGCTAACAAATGGAAAATAAAGCTTTCAGACACTTCCTTCTTGGCTATTCTCATGCTGATTTATCTCCCTTGCTAGTTAATATTTCCTTTAATACTTCCAAGGGTTTTACAGCCTAAGATACTACGCAGTAGTTATACAAATCTGACAACGTCAAGCTTTATCCCATTATCCCAGGTATTCTTCCTACCTAACCTATAAAATATCAATTTCTGCACTATTCACATCAAAGTCAATATGGATGTGCATTATCATATAATACTAAATCATCCCACAGAATCCATTTGAAGTACAATCCATTAAATTGTTATTTGGGTGCACATAAATCACTTACAAATGACATGCATATTAAGATATGAAGATCTTGGAAGCTTTTGCATCCATTTTTAATCAAGAAGAGCAGTTCATGTTATTTATACTGGAAACTGAATATGAGAATAAGTATTCAAGGAGTCAGCTTCAGAAATCATAGTCTGCGGTCAATTTAAAACTGCTAACTAAATTCCTGTTAATAGAAAGTAACTAAAAATGTGTCAATTCCATCTTCAAGTCTGTTTACTATATAGTACTTGGAATGTAATAACCATGGTTTTAAATGAGGGATAAATGCAGGCACTTGCAAATTCATTCCATTTTTTTTAAAACAAACATAGAAGATAAACAACCTGTCAGTCACAAGCATCTGTGAAAAAACTAAACAAAGTATAATGGGGAAGTGACATGGTTCCTTCTCCCTTCACCAAATTATTTAAAAATCTTTAGCAGATGATTTCTAAATTAATAACTAAAAAAGAGAGAACACAAGATTTTATTACCAGTCTAATTAATTTCCTTTGTAATTCAGTAACACAGAGCAAAAAAATGACAAGTTGTAATTAGAATGATATAAATTGAGATTGATACTCCTATAAACAAATGCATTAATAAAGGCACTTCACTAACTAGAATTTGCATTGTTCTCTATCAACTCCCCTTTGTTTTGATATTCTAAATACCTAAGTTACAGAAAAATATATATAATATTTTGCTTATATTGACCATATTCAGTATCTCCTGATCTCAAGAAAATGCTTTTTATACTATGTCTTGAGTGCTTTTTAAAAGGATATGCTGAATTATTAAAAAGGTTTGTTACAGATTTAAAAGACAAAATTGTTAGCTTTGTTTTTAAGTATAATAGAATGAAAAGTAATTTAATTTCTGACTCCCATTACTTCAACCTAAAATGTTAATATTCAAAGCTAAAGTTTCAAATATATTCCTTCCACTGAGTACTGTTCAGCAATAAAAATATACTTTTTTGTGTGTATGCCTTCGAAACAGTGTTGACTCCTGGCAACTGCCTGAATAAGTCCCTGAGTTTTCTGGGAAAGATTTCAGAAATGGTTGCCACTGTC